CACAAGTATGCGACCATACCATCACCCTCAACCAATAAAGCATAGTAACTAAAGCAAACAGTAAAGTGTGGAAATATTTGAGGTATGTCAACCACGACAGATAAAAGCGAATATAAGCAATGCATGTTCGAAATAAACTAAAGCTGTGGAGCACTCATAAACCAAATATTATAAAAATGTATAAACAGTGAAGTGAAATACAATACTCGTTTTGATCTTATAGATTGTCTGCTAGAGTCAAAGATACATGTAAATTCCACGAGCTAAATAGGGAAGGACCACAGCACTACGTGCATCTAAAACTTGAACAATATAATTCATGAAAAGATCCCAGTTGCCCATGTAAGGCAACCAGCGCGTATGAACATGGAGAGTGTGTATACTTGGTACGAGAATCACGCAATGCATGTTAAAAAAATAAACATCTCTAACACTCTCAATTCCAGAGGTTTCAAAAAATGTGTAGATACTGAAATGAGACAAAATACTTGATATGGCCTTGTAGTTTGTCTGCTAAACTTAAAGTATTGGTACGTGTAAACTCCACTAAAAAAGGAGTGACAACAGCACTACTTGCATATAGAATTTGAACCACAATTCTAGGAAAGATACCAGTTGCCTCTGAAAGACAACAAGGACGTACTTGGTACGCGAATCTCCATGCAGCTATCTATGGAAGACCAGTAATACTAAAAACAGCAAGAATACTGCAGCACCAAGATCCACCAGCGTCCATCAATGGAGAGAAGTAGTTGGATAACAACCAGTCACTGAGTTTCTAAGACTCTATAATTGATGAAGCAAAAGGCACACATGGATGGTGAAGAGTGAACTTTCACCGTGAAGCCTGCCTTATCAAAGTGTACTTGCTCTGTGATATGTGACCTGATAGCTTGAAGATCATAAACCCCGCACTCTGACTGTGGGTTCCTAGAAAGAAGAGATTTAGTTATCAAGAAGATGAGATAGAATTAGAGGAAAAACAAGAGTAGTATTTTTGTTTTTCCTCTAATTCTATCTCATCTTGAATGCAAGAGAGAGACCTCCGTCAAATACTACTCTTGTTTTTCCTCTAATTCTCTCTCTCTTGCAGAGAAATTCTTAGTTATTAATGAAATTAGATCGGAGATTTCAGAATCAACCACAAAACTCATTGACCTAGAACTTACACCAGTCCAGTAGCTATTACTAACAACTGAAATGAAAGTTGTACCTAGCTTGGTATCCACCTGCGGTAACAAAAAAGCATCGCGCGAATGTATGACAAATAACTTCATTTAAACAAAAAAGCTCGGAAATTTTGTACGGCTTGGCCATGATTCAAAGTCTTTGTTTCCATCTGCCATATTTCTACCCGCAAGGGCAAATTTATTGCCTTCACGATGTCAATTAACTGACTGGAATAAAATTGTGTTTTAGTCATTTATTTATTCAAGAGTCCTACAGCCTCCAAAGGGGTTCGGAGATGCAAGTGATGTGGCATCAGGTGTGGATGTCTTATACATTTAATTTAAAAAAATCCGGTTGAACTCCAAAAAAGTCACTTAAAATTCTAAACTAACATCTCTTCAACATGTTTGTGTCGATGCCAATTTCTTAACAAGAAGGCTTTCCGCTCTACTACTTGCAGTCTGCGGGCGCTGGATGGTATTTGCGGAAGAGCGATTATGGTACATGTATGCCATACCGCTCCTCCGCAGTTGTCCTTGTTCTAATGCGTGAGTCGTGTGGTATAAAAGAAAACTGAAACATTTAGTTTAATAAGTCATATCCCAAAAGCGTAGAAACTTGGTAATCAGGTTTGCAGCGCCATTGCACAAAATCCTGACTTCAACGACATGCCCCCACACTGCCAGAAAGATGACGAATCATCAGGAGCTTCCCCTTAACTGCATAACAACATAAATAACGGGCAACGAAGAAGGCAGATACCAACGAAGTTCAAGGCATGTCTACATCAATTTGAGGTTTGGCTCCAAATATGTGACTTACTTTCTTCCCAACAATATTCCTTCCTCTTGCTTTAGTGTATCATCACAACCTAGTTATCTCCAACCCACTCTGAAGGTACTAAAGTCATGTAATCTCATTAAACTGACCGCAAATGAAACTTCAATGGTAACGCATGAGTGAAAACAGTCATTGAAGTACCTGAAGCCCCTCGAATTGGTGGCTTCTGGTAGAAGACTACTTCTCAGTTGATTGCTGCTGTGAACGAGGGAAAGCATTCGATCAATAGGAATTTAAAGAACCTGCACGGGTGCTTAATTTAACGGTGAAGTACTGGACCTGTTCTAGATATTCTCCTGCCCTGCTGCATGTGAAATTTCAAGTTGGTGGGAGTGCGAGTGGGTGATTCCTACACTACATTCATGATCAACGGTTCCCTTATATTGAAATGCCATCACCCATGCGCGTCTCGAGCTATCGATGCTTGAATTTATATCAGACCCATGTAAGGGTCTGTTGTGATGACCAGTCACATCGCCTCTGTCAATGTCATTGTCAGCAGGTCTAGGCAAATCAAAATAGGTTATAGAACTGCTAAAGTATGCGACTTTGTAGCATACTTTGTAAACTTTAAACCCTCACAGGTAATCCTTGTTGGAAACTTTTGTTGATATCTCTTGCTAAAAGCATTTTGTGATATCAATTCTTTTTTAAAGCAAAATATACACAATAAATATAGCAACATGAAAAATGTATGTTTAGGGTTTAGTTTTGAAGGAGTATTGAATGAGAGAACTCCCGGGTTGAACAACGTCGCTTTAGCATACTTTGTAAACTTTAAACCCTCACAGGTAATCCTTGTTGGAAACTTTTGTTGATATCTCTTGCTAAAAGCATTTTGTGATATCAGTTCTTTTTTAAAGCAATATACACACAATAACATTTACAGTTTACAAAGTATGCTAAAGTATGCTAAAGTATGGCTTCTATTGTGATAGTTTCAAAGAATGAAAAAAAAAAATCAAATGTGTCAAGACTTCCGCAAATTGAATGCTTAATCATAAAGGATAATCATTTTTTATCACTTCAAAATGCCATCTTAGATTGTGTGGTCGGGCAAAAATGCTTTTGTTTCTTTCACGGGTACAATCAAGTTCTTATCACGAGACAGCAAGACCACCTTATAGTTTATACCACTGGATAGTTTATATCACACACTGTAGTGGTATAAACTATCCAGTTAGCACTTAGTCCCTTACTAAACATAATAATTTATGTCGCAGAGAGATTTGATTAACATAGTGATGTATGCCCTAGTTTAACTCACCATAGTTCAATCAAAAAGAGTTACTCAAACTGAATGTTAATCTTCACCCTACATAATTCCAATATGATTACAGATAAAAAATAAAAGCTTATATCTTTGTGACGCCAAAGACTATATCTTGGGAGTACATCACATATCAAGATAAAAGTTCAATTCATTCTTAGATGACAACACAACGAGTATCAACTCGAAATGCTCGATTCAAGAATGTCAAATTCGAAAGATGACAACATTCAATCTTGTCAATGTAAAACAAGATCAAGTAAACTATCTCAAATGCTATGAAGTGGAGGAAGATGTGTCGTTAAAGAAAAATAGCAATTATATTTCAGTGTGGAAGTAGCAAACCAAACCATAGTGAAAGTATAGAAAGACTTTCCAGCCAGAGAAAAGTGTTACTCACATTGGAGCATAATTATAAAACCAACAAGGTCATAAGTACTAAATAATCCGATTCCTTGATTACATTACATATTTTGAAGATTTGTTTGCTTGGTGAATTGAAAACATGAGACTTATTTCTTTGAAATGAAGGTTACATTGGATTGATCTAATATAGTGATATAAGGGTAATGTATGTAATGCAACAACCATATCATTTAAATCGAAAATATTTCTTTGTTGGTGACAGAGGAGATACATAAGTACTGATTGATACTTGCAAGCAAAAATCATCAATCCAAATTTGAGTGGTGAGAGGTTGGCTTCTATTGTGATAGTTTCAAAGAATGAAAAAAATAAAAATCAAGTGTGTCAAGACTTCCGCAAATTGAATTCTTAATCAGAAAGGATAATCATTCTTTATCACTTCAAATTGCCATCTTAGATTGTGTGGTCGGGCAAAAATGCTTTTGTTTTTTTCACTGGTACAATCAAGTTCTTATCACGAGAGAGCAAGACCACCTTCACTACTGATTGTGGCAACTACACATACCATAAATATCCCTTCAGACGGGGAACTTGCTGCATTTTAGACTGTGACGGCATAAATATTTTAGCTTTACTTGAGTAAGTTTTAGAAAATCTTTATTGACTATAACCATTTGATCATGACTTGAGTTTAATATACATTGATCTTGTATGCATTGTTGAAGGGTTTAGGGGGGACAAAAGGATTCAACAAAGCAACATAGAGTGTAGTTAAATTTGCTCCTCATAAACAGTTGTCATGCAAGGGTTTGCGTGAATCCATACACCAACTCATTCATTGCAAACTGATGATGAAATTATGAGGTTACTGTGCAAATTGACCACACAATTCTTTTCACAACTACCAAAACCAACCTCAAACGAATGGATTCTGTAGGATGGGAGTGGTTGACAAACGATCATTGCACAAGGAAATAAAAAAGCAAACGTATTTCAAACTTGTATTCAAAAGTAGCTGAATCAAGAGTACCGAGAATCTTTCGTGCTGGAATTTTCTTCCTAAATATGAAATGTACATAATCCATTTTTAGTACCACGATTGAATTTGCACGACAGTACAAACAAAGATGCCACTCGTCCATACTTCGACTGGATATTACTAAAAGTCAAACGTTTGATGCCAGCGACATTCTTTGAAAGACACAGTTCATAACTCTTACCAATGATTACCATTAAAAATATTTGCGCCGTTCCACTCACACTCCGGATCACCAAAATGCATTTTCCAGAGCGTTCGACATCACCATTTTGAAGCCAATATCATCCAAGCAATCTCAATCGATATCGCAAAACAGTGTATATTCAAAATCTTTTTTTAGATCTCCTGCCGCCACCTCTAGATCTACTATCAAAGAGCAGGTTGGGAGGTATGTACCAATCTCAATCAATGTACTAAAATACCATTCTAGTACAAAATTCTATCGAAAAGTGGAGGATTTATTACATATTGTACAGTCATATTAACAACCTATGAGTCTTCGACAGGTCAACACTATTCTCATCCCGTCCATCACCTAGCCATTGCCCACACGGTTTATAAGTGAGCTTCGAAGAAAAGAGAGATTTCGTCAATAAAAGTTCCAAGGATTCGACGTGCGAGCTCGAGTTTGCACCTTTGGGTATCAAAAACCCTCTCTAGGAAATGATCGGTTCTCCATTCGGCAAGATCCCCTTCCAAAACCTATTTTTCCAAGTTCATGCCAGTTCAACTTGAAGGAGATCAGAAGAATGAAAATGATAAAGAGCTGGGAGCCAATCGTGAAGATGAATGTACATTCTGCGAAGATACAAAGCCGTTACGATGCTTGACAGTTATGCTAGTACTGTGAATCCATATCGTCCGATAGCGCATTGTAAGTCCCGATTACTTTGTCCAGTGATCGCAAGCGAGATATTCTCTCAAAGCTTTGACATGGCATGGTCCATGACGTCGACAAGGAAATCTGTGAGCAGCACACAAACCCTCACATCAGAACCAGTAGCTTTTGTAGAAGTATTGTTTGTGCTTTGTAGCTATCTTATGAAAATAACAATATACTTTCTTGTGTGCATAAGTTAAAAGTATTCTAAAGATAAGGTTATCACCACTGCAAAAATTTTGATCTCTTACCTGCATCTTCGAGTGTAAAGCACATCGGTGGCTTGATTCTGAAAACATTGCCATGTAGACCTCCTTTTCCCACAAGGACGCCCAGGTCTGAAAAAAGAAGTCATACAAGCAATATAACACGGGCAAAAGTGCGAACAAAGAACTTGTCACAATGACATGTCAGGGCAGACCAGACAAAGAAGGCTAACTCCGTGAATATCTTGACAAGAAAATACGGACCTTTAATGGTCTCAAAGAGCTGCAACGTCTCTGCCTTTGCTGGGGTCTTTGTCATTCGATCGCTAACTAGCTCTACACCGAGCATTAAGCCTCTGCCTCTGACATGGCCTATGACTGCACCAAAGCCAAAAATATAGCACTAATTACCAAGAGTTGGCCCGACAAACTATGACTAAAAGGAATAGGAACATATTATGCGGAGACTTCAACTTGGATTAAAGTTCAACCGTATTCAAAGCTTAAGGCAACACCATTTTTCAAATACTCGATCACACAAATAAAACCCTGTAGAGAAACTAGCAATACTGCGTGATCGCTCATCCAAATCTGAAATCAGTTCCCTCCGTTCCGCCAACTGATTCCGGGAGAAAGTTAGGCAAGGGTAAAAGTATGAAAAGAGACATACTGTCATGTTTTTCTTGAAGAGCATGGAGACGTTTCAAGAGATGATCACCAACTACAGCACAGTGATGTTGGCGTTGTTCTTTCTCCAAAACCTCAAGGACCGCATGACCGGCTGCCGAGCATACAGGGTTACCTCCATAGGTATTAAAATGCAAGCGCTGGTTCATCACTGATGCGATTTCCGGCGTCGTCACGACCGCTGCCATAGGTAGCCCATTACCAATTCCCTGTCATAAAAGTTTCCTTTCAGACAGTATTGCAGCAAGCAATATAAACTTGTCTGGGATTTTTCGCGTCTCAAACACATTCCTAATATGACATGGTCTTCTTCGCAGTCAGTGACTTGACTCTAACAACTACTTGGACGTGTCAGACAGTTTCGGATGGCAAGTTTTTTATACCCTTCAGAATAAAAGAAGAACACCAAAAAATCGTGATGGCTTTCTTCACTAAAACCTGAAAACTTTGGCTATGAAACTGACTGCTCTCAAAACCACAAAGCAAGACTGTAAAGAAGGACGTGTATCAAGAGGTAAACCTTCGCTAATGTTACGATATCAGGTATAACGCCCTGAGTCTCAAAACCCCAAAAATGACTTCCCGTTCGACCAAATCCTGTTTGAACCTCATCAGCAACACAAACACCTCCAGCCTTTCTCACGATATCATATGCAGCGGAGAGATATCCTGGGGCTAGCTCCACTGCTCCTCCAACACCCTGCCAAACTAAATCCGAAGTATTAACGGACACGGTAGGCAGAAGAAACCAATGTTCCACTTGAGGACCAATTACAAAAACATCACCGGCATCACAGCGAGTGCCTTTGATATGGATCTGAGGTCTCGACAAAGAACGAGCTTCACTCAAGAGAGTGTAATCACAAATGGTAGCAGTGCTAAAGTTCGAACAAGGGAGCACAGCGTTGGATTGTAAACATGCCAAATGATGGCAGACAGCACATGCTTAACAGTTGTTGAAAGTGGGACATCGAGATTTTCATATACATCCAACAATTATTTTAAACATATGGCAGACAAAATACAGAAAGCAAATAAAGCAAGAAAGAAAAAAATAAAGAAAAAATCCATATACTTTCCACTCCATGATAACCACTGCGAATGTATCATACTAAAGGAGGCGTTGTGGGTTACCTGAATTGTTTCCGCAAAGAAACCAGCGATTCGTCCAGGGGTAGAGGATTCGATCAGATTAGACAAGTCAGCTGCATATTTCTTCCCATCGGCACCAAATGGACCTCTGTAAGGGTCAGGGTTCAAAACATGATGCACCCCAAAACCCTGTTCCATAACACCAGACAAACCTAGGTCATTGATATACTCTATAAACAATGCGAACGTCCTGGCGCTTTAGTCATCTTATAGCCGTAAGATATACCCTTGCCCATATCAACTTTCTTGGTTCCTTTTGAGCTAATGTCTGTCTTATCGGTCATTCCTCAACAAGAAGATAGTGTGTAGAATCCAAATCAGAAATCATCATTACACTGGGACGGTCGAAAACAGTGCACACGGACAAGATGGAAGAAATTCGGAAGATAAACAACCTGTGGAACGTTATATTTCCAGGTGTTGTGGGCAGTAAGGCCCATGGTAGCAGGACTCATCCCATGATATGCATTTCGCAGTGCCACTATATCGAAACTGCCGGAGTAAAGACGTGCCATCATCATCGCCATGTCATTTGCTTCTGAACCGGAGTTCACAAAGTATACGACCTAATTTCACATGACAAGAGCCCAAATAAGTTAACAAAGAAGAAGGAAGAGATGAAACTTGTATGAAACTACACTGCTTTCACCAGCGTTGATTCATAGAACGTCCAGAAGAATATATCGCCTTGCCTATCGGAAATGCCAAGATATATGGCTGCAGACAACAACTACGACTGGGTATGGCCGAGTATACATCAATCTCCAGAACTCTTCGGACATCTTCCCAAATCGACATGAAATAATATCTTCCACTGATCCTTCTATGTGTATCAGAGCCAGGTCAGAAGCAGAACCTTTAAGTCACCCGGCATTTTTTTCACAAGTGCTTCGGCGTAATCGGCGATCGCATGGTGAAGGTAGATGGTGGTGGTGTGTTGAAGCAACTTGCTTTGGCGTATCACGGCGTCCACAACATGAGGATGGCAGTGTCCAACTGAAACTGTGACAATGCCGGCGAATGCATCCAAATAACGTCTACCTGTTTCATCGAACAAATACTGCATCTTACCCTCCACGATGTTGACCTGCACAAACCCATTGATCTTATCAGCACAAAGTCTAAATGCCTTCCACAGACATGCATGAAGGAGAAAAACATCGCAAAATGTTCGACCCATGACATGATCGTTCCACAGACTAGGAACATAATATTCCCCCACATTGGCCTCCGACCGATCAGATGCGATCCAGTAGTTTATATCAGGCGGCGAACACTTGTGACTAGAAGCTATACAAGCTGAAAGCATTGGGACCACGAGAGAAAAAGCTGACCTACTCATCTAAAGCAACGACTCCTACAAATTAGAGGAATCAGATAACATCCGTATGACGTAAAGCTAGGACAAACTTCCATTCGGTTCTCAATCTTCAATTTATTTTGAGATGGTGATGAGCTAAACAAGAATTCAACATGAGGATTGCAACTGAGGTCAATTAAAAGCGATGACTACCTGATAGGCTGAACAAACTCACTTAATTTCTCCTATTGTTGTTTCTCTTGCTGCATTAGATACTCTAAAACGAATTCACCAGGAGGAAAATCAAACGGAAGCTTGCGATGTTTGGAGCATAATTCAGGATACGCGCGTGGGTACAATGAGGCTGATACCGTCAAAGGACCCTCTCGAAAGAGCATAGGAACTGCAATGCTATCGCTAATATCGACAGGCTAATATATCGACTACTTCAATGCATGAAGAGCCAAGAAATTTTGATGATAGTTCCAGACTACCTATACATCCTGCATGAGGGATTTTAAAAGCAAGCGATCAATCGGAAAAGGCAGCACGGAAGTAGCCGAGGATGAGAGTTTGGAAAACTGAATCAATATGAGAAGAGAGCGGTGTTTACGTCAGCAGCTCGCAACGGAGCTGGAAACACCTAAATAAACACGAGCTGACGTAATGCATTGTGACCTCGTCAGTAGGAAACTGAAGAACTGTCAAACAAAGCCGACAGAAAAACTGTATCGACCTTTGAGCCTCTGAAGTGGTTAGTCAGATCACTCACATGCTTCTTGTAGTAGAGAAACAAAGCCGGATTGAGAAACTTCTTGCGTTTGGCCAAAATTTCGTCAGCAAGAGGACCTTCGTAGGGACGAGGCGTGTAATTGAATGGAGGGATCTGAGGCAGAACTGCAGCATTACTCGCATCAGAAGATGTTTTGGCAGCAGCCTGCGTGACTGCCGTAGACAGAGAGCGGAGAAGAGGAGAACAAGCTGCGGAGGTCCATTGCTTGCGACTTCTCGACAAAAATGCCGCTGCGGCCATTTCCTTGAATCTCGAGGGGCCAAATTCACTATTCTACGCTGGTCAAGAAAAAGTCCGAGGACGCCGTTTCCAATCGTCGAAGTTGAAGTTGTTGGATGTCTACTTTCTAGTAGACAGAGACGAAACGAAGTTACAAACTTCGACGACAACGACTAAACAGAGCGTCGTCCTGCACTCCGAGAATCCCAAGCTACGAGACAATGAGCAAAGCGCTCCATCTGATGCTTCCACCGGTGGGTCCCACCGGTGGTGGTGCTAGGCGGGCAAACGGTGGGTCCCACCGTTTGCCCGCCTAGCACTTTGCAATAGCTACTGAACCTTGCTGTCCCCATGCTGTAACATTTTCTCGTAGCAAAAGTTTACGACAGCTTTTTACTAGTCTTCCTGGTAATGTCCATTGTGCAGCATTTCAATCCGACAAAAGTCTATCACATGCAAAGACGTCAGAGACACGAAGTAACGTGGAAGTATATTTCACCAATTAATGTAAAAAAGGTTATATGAATTTTAAGGTTTAATTTGAAGGTTATATGAACTCCGGATACGAGATGGAGTTATCCGATTGGGGCACGATGGAGTTAGTCTTGATGGGAAGTATGCGTAGTGAGGTAAAGGTACATTTTAATCATCATTGTGATTAAATTCAGCAATGACAATAATATCGAAAGACTAGTCACTTGAAAGAAAGTATTGTATTACATATTAAACTTGTCAATGTTGTTTATAAACCAAAGACTACACATTATTTAATTCTTTGCAATATGATATAGAGAGTGTAATCTCAATATAATTACTTTGATAAGCTACGATGCACTTTGCATTTAAACTGAATAATCAAAACTTTTTCGTTTTTGATTTCCATCCATTCAAATGTGTTGGATTTGAGTAATATTGTGTTAAAGGGTTTTATTACTTCTGACATTTGTAAGTAAAGTGACTATTATAATAACCTGGCAATAGGCACTTACTCATCCGGGAAAGATATGTCTTCACCAAATATTACTTCAAGTCATACCAGCACTCTCATAAGATATCAAAAACATCACATCATGTTACTGTATCCCCAATGTCATTTTAGATAGTCATCACGTACACATTAAGTGGACAATTAGTCATGTGGACATCTATAACTTGCTATTTATCACATTCACATGTGTAATTAGGATCCACATCGATACACCAAGCCAAGACTCAACCCCCAGGTTGTAAAAGATGGTTAAGAGATAAAAATTCAATAAATCGAAAATAAAGATTTCGATCCAATAGGCTCACTTTTAGATTAAACTTCTTTCTGGATTCGCTTCACCTTACAGCATTGCTTCCAATTGTAATTGCCATAAGCTTCTTTTATTAGAGGAAGACAGTCAGGGCCTTCGTGATCAAATATCAGATCTGGATATTCCAGATTTGTTTTCAATTTCATGTTATGCAAATTATTTTGCATATCTATGCTATACGCTGCGAAGCAAACATGTTATGTAAACATAGGCATTGTAGCCTCGCACGGCGCACTTGTTATAAAATAATAGAACCTAAAATGACCTGATAAATGAAGACTAAAAATTGCTAAATCAACAGATCCTCCAGAATGAGTGGCATTTCCTTTTGCTTTCTCGTGGCGCAGCGAAAAAACAAAACTTTTTTGGACGTCGAAGACACGGGTTGAAATCCCGTAACGGGCGAAGCACCTACCGTTACTATGGTTGCTCTAAAAGCAGAGCGAAAAGGCTTTCTGGTGCACGGATTTTGACCAAAAAAAAAAACTTTACAATAATAAATAAGAATCCTATTATGCAAAAAGACAACTTGTTTTATGAACCATTAATTATAAGGTTAGAGTACCTATTAGGATTTTTTTAAACCTATGGTAGCTTACAGATTTTATTCAAAAAAGATGCTCGTATGACGTTTGGTTATTACATTCGGCCAGTTGCCGTTGTGAAAAAACGGCATCATTTACTTTTGAAGTGTGTTGTTCTTCCATAATATTTCGTTTTTTTTTTTGACAACAATACCTATAAACTAAGAACATCTAAAGTGGATACTCCTTGATGTGTGCTACTTCCAAGATCAGTTCCAAAACTGCGGATTCTCATTCCTTTCGTAATGCCTCAAACTATGCATTATTTTGATCATATGCATTGATTTTCTCTTTCTATGTAAGTTGGATGTACTCAATTTAGGAATACAACATTGAGATGTAATCTGATTATTAATTCTAGGCTTACTAGAAGTTACTGGTCTAAACGATAGATGTGACCTGTAATCATGAGAATAGCTCTACAATTGGAAGCTGCTTATATTGGTGTTAAAATTTGACCAGCACATAGTCATAAATTATAGGGGTTCTTTACTTCCTCTTTCTCTTTTCAAAACCACTTGCTTTCATCAAATTCTAAAATTTAACTTGTTCCAATGTCGATTAAGCATTCTGCAACTGATTACATAATCCTGCAAATCATTTCAGTTGGATATATAATATTATATTTCAATTCGGTTTCTATCTAACACTATCATTGTACTTTTGGAAAAAACAGAAGAATTTTGTTACAATGAAGATGTTTTACTTGAACACGCCAAAAACAAAGAGGATTGTCAGCTCATGCTAATTCCAAAGTATCGAATTTGGATGAAAACATATGGATTCATTGTTGCATTCATCCTTCTTACGTAATTGCAGTATCTGCAGAATGTACATTTTATTGGCTCGAACACCCAGATTAGTCTTGTGTTTGTGTATGAGAAACTTGTTGTAGGATAATTATAGAACTAAATAAATTAGTCTTGCATAAATTTATCATGTATTTCAAAGTCTAAAGCCATTAAAAAAGACATCACATTAGATATATCCATATGCATGATACTTATCCAGACAAATATTGTTTACATAAACATAAGTATAAGGGTTCAGAATTCCAAATACTCTCTTAGATATCTTCCATAAAGTCATTCTAGATTTCTTTTTAAAAATAAAGAATTAGAAAATACTTGGAATAACTGAGATAGCTTTGGTGGAGAATACTAACATCTCATAATAACATTCATAACATTATGGTGTATGTGACAACCAATTATAAACTCCTACGACCAAAATTTTTTTCTCTTGAGTAAAAATTAAGATAGAGAATCAAGAAAAAAATAATGGTATTGCAATTTATGGATAAGATTTGTTCATGTAACAAAAGAGCCTAGCATATTTATACAGAGTATTTAGAACCAGAACAATACAAAGTGTCATTAACATGCAATCCGGAGCCAAATACTCATGGAGATAGTACTATTTTATTAACAGTTGGAGGGAAATCTGCTGTATATGCTTTGAATCCTTTCTGAAATGTGAAGGGTTGATTATATGAAAGTTAGTCGAGGGAGATAACATGTAGGGACGTAAGAAGTACTTCATAGTTATTGGAGACTTTTTATGTCAGCCTAACATAATAATGACTGCAAGTCACCCTTTCCTTCATACATTTTCCCTCATTCTGGTTCATGGAGTGTTGTATCAGAACTTTCACAGGAGGAAAGTAGCTAATTTAACTCAATCGACTACAAACTGTAAGGGGAGACAATCTTACTAAATATATCCTGGTTTTTTACTTTTGGCTCAAGTTAGAACGTCAAGTAGTTCTGTCAGTCTCTTATCGATGGGAATTTAGAACACTAGAACTGTATAAGACATACGTGTTGGACCCAGATTGCTGCCACTTGCTACCTACCCCGTCAGCCCGTACTGACATACAGGTCATAGCACCATGCTAAGGAGTAAGGACGAGGCTGGATCGCTGATGAACCACCATGTGCACGAGGGTTGGATCCTAACCTACAAACAAGGACTGCACTTTCAACCATGTCCATGTTTCATGTGCTTCCATTGCATTAGGTCGCAAAATTGTTATGCTACATTCAAGACCAATTGAATGTTTATGCGAGGTTGAGAAATTAATTTGGAACTCTTTTTGTAGTATAAATCAAGGAAGGATTTTCTAATATTCTATGTATCTACCTTCTCAAAGAACAAATTACAAGCAATGTAGAAAATAAAAAAATACCACCAGATAGTATTCTCGACTGGTTACCAACAACCAGTCCTTACATATATTTCTCACGGGTACTTTGTTTATCTGCTGAATAATTACTCTCCATTGAAAAGCCTTATTCAATGTACGGATTAGGAACAAATGGGTTAAGTGTAGATGGTCCAATCACTCACGCATATACAATAGTATGTACTGTAGACCCACTTTAAGAAACATGATTACTGCGAAAAGCAGACGTTGGATGCCTGTCAACGATGATAGTGTGAATATTCAGTTCAACAACTTATGTCGTATGTTTTTTACTTCAAAAGCATTGTTTCTTTTATTTCCATTAAAAAAACATAGACAGTGTTGAGTAAGTTAGCGACACTCTGAACTTTGGGATCCTTTAGAGCGCACCAAACCTTATGTAGTCCCGAAGACCTTTAAAATAAAATCTTGTGATAATTCATATTATATTTCTCTCCTTCTAAGTAGAAGCTTATTTTAACCAATGCATATTTCTCACAAACTGTAATCTTTGTGTTCCAAATTATTTCCAAACTGCTATTATAATAAAAAAATTATATGTTGGGGAATGATTTCAGCCAATTTTGTTCCATTCCAGCATTACGTTTTACGTATGGTGGAAAGTAAATTTGAAATCATGAAAATTTTAGCATTTTATATATATATCAATCATGTTAATTTTGTCATTCAATTTAGGAAACTCAGGTTCCATTTATTTTTCAACATATAGCTATTGTATTGTAATATTCATGTTTTACAAATGATGTCTTATTTTTTAACACTTTGCAAATTTTAGATCAAATTGCTTTATATTGAATCTACATGATTTTCTTTTCTATGTGTGAATGAATATTTAATTTGGATTAAGAAAAATAAAATTACAAGCAATTCCAATAGAATCAACAAAAGAAATATGTGGTGTAACTTAATAAATTTGCATCCTTATCAAGGAGATGTTTTGCCAAATCTGTTGCATAGCAATACTACACCAAGTCAACCAAACCATTGAAAACCAAGAAAACTAAAAATCATTTGAAATAATTTTCTATAATCTCTTATTTCTAAGTATTGTAAACTCTATTTGTAATATATATGCTGTGAAATGTTTCAGAAAAATTTCCAAGATATGTCTCCTTGACTTAAAAGTGATTTTCAAATAGATTTTGCCAGCAAATCATGATAAATATAATCATATATATAAAATTGTAAATAATTTTTATTAATTTTAAGGTTAATAAAAAACTTTTAGGGTTTAGGGTGGGGGTTTAGGGTTTAGGGTTAACTTGCAACATATAACTTTGTACAGTGAGTCACCTAACATTAAAATATAATTCAAATTTAATATACATTAATCAAATATATCTAACGGTAAAACTCGAGATCCCACTGAGCAAGTTAACAACACAAGAGACTCAGAAGACACACGTTAAAATAATATACAGACGTAACTCAACAATCTTCCCTTAACTTATGTTAAAAAATCTTAGCCACATTTCTAACCTATATTATTACTCGCATAGCATGATAAAATAATAACATACAGATTAATTCAACAATAACCCTCAACTTGTGTTAGAGAATCTCAGTCACATCTCTAACCTATATTATTACTCGCATAACATGATAAATAATAACATACAGAGTTAATTCAACAATCTCCTTCAACTCGTATTAAGGAATCTCAATCATCTCTCTAACCTACATTATTACTCTGCAGTAACTTTTGCACGGAAATCTACTACAAAATATTTTTTTAACGACAGTTAACTAGAACTAAGCTGTAGTCATAACTAAAAATCATATCTCTCATGCTTCCTCTACACAACTTGCATAGTAGCACAATGTCGTATGAAACTCTTCAAAGGAATAAATTTGGTCAATGTATCAGCTAGATTGAATTTACCGTCGATCTTGACTAACTCAATTGTTTTTTCAAACACTACTTGTCTAATAAAGTGATACCTGATGTTCATGTGCTTCACCTTGCTATACATGAATTAATTTGCATCCAAATGTAAAGCACTTTGGCTATCACAATGAAGATTGAACACGCCATGTGTCAATTTCATCTCCATTATAAGTCTATCCAAACAAATAGCTTACTTTACCGCTCTGTTGTTATCACATATTCAGCTTGCCTTGTTTATTAACCTATGTACTTCTGCAAGGTAGAATTCCAATTAATGCTTTTACCGCCAAGTGTAAACGCATATCCAGTTGCAGATCTACATTTGTCTAAATCTTCTCCGTAGTCCACATCAACGTAGCCAAACAAAAACTTGTCATTGTCTAATAACCCATCAAACAATAAGTCGTAATCCACAGTATTCTTTAGATATCTCACAATCCATTTCACTGCTTTCAAGTGAACTTTTCTTGGATTTGACATGTACTTGCTCACCTTCCCATTGCTAAAGCAATATTAGCCCTAGTGCACACCATTAAATACATGTACTTGAGTACGTTGAGCTGCATAGAGTTTAAAATGTGATGGCTAAGGATTCCACACTCCTTTTCAATAGGTCATATTGAACCTATCAAGTATACGGCGAACATACTTGTCATGACTCAACCATAGCTTCTTCTCTTCAAAATTCCTATAAATATCCATGCGTAATATCCGCTTCAACTCCCCCATATACTTCATCTTAAATGTAGACTTTAGCTAACTCTTGCATTTATCGACATCGGATTGGTGAGATGCTCATCGTTGACGACGTGCTCATCTTTGCCAAGATGAGCATGTCGTCAACGTAGAGTATTAAAATGATGAAATTAAACGTCTTATCATTCATCTTTTTCATGTAGACACAAGTATCATGCATGCTTTGTAGAAAATCTTGTGTCTTCATAAACTCATCAAAGCGTGTATTTCATTGTCTATGAGCTTGCTTCAATCCATATAGTGATTTCAGCAATCTACAAATCAACCCCTCTAGTCTTTGATCTCAAAGCCAACTAGTTGTGTCATGTAGATCTT